TGCCCCTGTGCAAACAGCCCCGGGGCAGATCGAGAGCCCCAACTGCCCCTGTGCGAACAGCCCCGGGGCAGATCGAGCGCCCCAACTGCCCCTGTGCAAACAGCCCCGGGGCAGATCGAGCGCCCCAATCGCCCCGGCTCTGCGCCCCAGGGTTAGGAGCTGGGCGCAGCTTTGTGCTGGACTAATCCCCGTATTAAACCCTCCGCCGGGTCTATGCTTGCGCTCCCCGCACGCAGAGCGCCTCGGCAAAGCAGCAAAGCGCGGCTTAACCCCGCAAACGCCGCCGGGGCTGGGAAGGCAGCCCGGTGCGGCGGGAGGCTCCGTGTTCCCGGCAATGCGCGCACCGGGACGCGGCAACGGGCGCGGTTGCACCGGGCGGAGCGCTGCGATGCCCGCCGCTCCCCTCTCCCGTTATTCCCGTCCCCGCCGAGCTGCTCGTTGCGGGACACGCGGCCGCGGGGAGCGGCGGCTCCGCGCCGCAAACCCCGCGCCGGATCCGGGAATTCGGRTCCTGCCAGCGCAAACTTCACTATTCCACACCCTCGGGCGATGATTATTGGGTTTCTGCCCCTGTTTTCACGCATTGCTTGAAATATTGTATTCTGGGCGGCTTTTGGAGGCCTGTTCTAGTGTTTTATTGCTCCCCTTTCCAACCCAAGTATTTTGCTGGAACGTTGATCTTCATTTCGCCAGTGATCTTCATTTTCACCTTCATTTTCACCTTCATTACATTAAACCGAAAAAGGTTTAATGTAAATGGTTTAGCCTTAGGTTTAATGTAAACGGTTCCTCTCCCAAATCTGTCCTACTGTTTGCTATGGGCACAGCAGGAAATTGAAGCAGAGTTTGGGGGTTTAATGCTGAACAAAATAGAAAAAAAAAATAAAAAATAAATAAAAAATAAATAAATGATAAATAAATAAATAAATAAATAAATAATAAAAAATAAAAAAAATAAAAAAAAATAAAAATAAAAAATAAAAAAGGCTAAAACCTGTGTGTCTTGCAGGGCATAAAGTGCATAAAGCAAGTCTCAAAGTCGCACTGCAGTTGAGAAGTGAAAATTCCCCATTAGCAAAGTGAGGAGCTAAGTTTCCATCGTGCAGAAAACTTGGGAATGTTGTGGAACTTGTGGGTCTCCAATTAGTGCAAAAACTCCACTTTAATAAAAAACAGATGCTGCACATCCACTACGTGCAAGTTTATCGTTAATGGCAAAAATTTATCAATCCTGGAGCCATTTGCCTTCTTTTTGCAGGTTTCTCTACCTGGAGGTTGGTTTTGCCTTCGGCAGTTGCTGAGTTTCCAAGCAGAAGACTGCTTCCCATTTTCCGGAGCAGTATTTCTCCCCCTTTTCTATTTTGTATTTGTATATATTTGTATTTGAGGGGCCAGGTTCGGGAACTGGGAATTTGCCCTTTGGCCTCCAAAGCGTCCCTATGAAGMGGGTGGTCACTTTGACCAGCCAAGAGCTCCCAGCCACGGGAATTATCGGAGCTCGACACCATCCAAGCAGTGATCTGAGGGCACGAGCCAATGGGACCCTGCCGAAAAATGCGCAGTTAAATTTTAACCGTTGGGTGAAAATCTCCCCTTGCAGATATTGCAGCAGACGAGCCCGCATCGACCCGCCGCACGTCCCGAGGCCGAGCGCGACCACCCCCGTGTCCCCCCGGCCCCTTCTCCACGATGGATGAGGAGCACCTGCACGACGAGCTGCGCGTTTTTAAAGGTAGCTTCCCGCCGGGATCGCCCTCGGAGCCGCTCGCCCGGGAGCAGTGGGAGGGATCACGCCGGAGCACGGTCTGGCCTTGCTGCCCAGGGGGGTCGCTTCGAGATGGGAGGGGATTCTCCCCAAATTGACCCAAAGTGAGCTGAATTTTGACCCAACTGAGAGGGAATTCTTTCTTTTTTAATCCAAACTGAGTTGAATTTGGACCCAACTGAGAGGGAATTCTCTCTTTTTTGACCCAAA